CAACAAACATATGAAAAATGCTCATCATCACTGGTCATTAGAGAAATGCAAATCAAAACCACATTGAGATACCATCTCACGCCAGTTAGAATGGCGATCATTAAAAAGACAACAGATGCTGGAGAGGATGTGGAGAAATAAGGACACTCTTACACTGCTGGTGGGAGTATAAATTAGTTCAACCATTGTGGAAGACAGTGTGGCGATTCCTCAAGGATCTAGAAATAGAAGTTCCATTTGACCCAGCAATTTCATTACTGGGTATATATCCAAAGGATTATAAATCGTTCTACTATAAGGACACGTGCACACAAATGTTCATTGCAGCACTGTTTACAATAGCAAAGACCTGGAAGCAACCCAAATGCTCATCGATGATGGACTGGACTTGGAAAATGTGGCACATATACACCATGGAATATTATGCAGCAATCAAAAATGATGAGTTCGTGTCCTTTGTCAGACATGGATGAATCTGGAGAACATCATTCTCAGCAAACTGACACAAGAACAGAAAATGAAATACCGCATGTTCTCACTCATAGGCGGGTGTTGAACAATGAGAACACATGGACACGGAGGGGAGCACTACACACTGGGGTCTATTGGGGGGAATAGGGGAGGGACAGCATGGGGAGAAATGCCAGATGTGGGTGAAGGGGAGGAAGGCAGCAAATCACACTGCCATGTGTGTACCTATGCAACTATCTTGCATGTTCTGCACATGTACCCCAAAACCTAAAATACAATAAAAAAAGAATATAACTTTAAAAAAAATACTTGTTTGAAGAACAAAAAAAATATCTGTTATTAAGAATAACAGGTTAAAATGTTAAAATGAAGAAGCAATGAACAGACTGAGAGGAAGTATTTGCAAAACACGTAGTTGATAAAGGACGTGTATCTAGAATGCATAAAAAATTTAAGACAGTGTAAATTTTTAAATGTCAAGTTTAAAAATGGGAAAAATATTTGAACAGACCACCAAATAAGATAAGTGGATATCAAATATGAATATCAAATAAGAACATGGAAAGATGCTTATCATCAGTAATGATTAGGAAAGTGAAAATTAAAACCATGATGAAATACCACTGCATACCCATTGGAATGGCTAAAATTCAAAATTAATGAATGTTAGGAGGTGAAGGAATGGGAACTTTCACAATTAGCTGGTGGGAATGTAAAATAATTTGGGCCCTTTGGACAATAGTTTGGCAGTTTCTTAGAAATTATACATATACCTAACGTGATCCAATGAGTCCACTCCTAAGTATTATGTAAGATAAGTCAAAGCGTATATCCACACAAAAATTTGTTGATGAGTGTTCATAGGAAACAACCCAAATGTCTATCAATAGGTGAATGGATAAACAAATAGTGGTATAGCCGTATGGTAGAATGCTACTCAACAATAAAAGGTAGGAAGTATTAATACATGCATCAGCTGGATGAATCCCAAAATTGTTATGTTGAGTAAAAGAAGCCAGGCTAAAAGAGTATATATTCCATGATTCCATTCATATATAGTTCTAGAATGTGCAAACTAATCTATAAATATTTGGGAAGAAAGGGTTATGAAAAGGGCCATGAGGAAACTTGGGGATGATGAATATCTTTTTAAAAAAAATATTTATTTTAGGTTTGGGGGTACATGTGAAGGTTTGTTACATAGGTAAACTTGTGTCACAGGAGGTTTGTTGTACATATTATTACATCACCCAGGCATTAAGCCCAGTACCCAATAGTTACCTTTTCTGCTCCTCTCCCTCCTCCTACCCTCCCCTCCCTCTTTCCACCCAGACCCCAGTGTCTGTTGTTTCCTTCTTTGTGTTCATAAGTTCTTATCATTTAGCTCCCACTTATAAGTGAGAACATGGTATTTGCTTTTATTTCTGCATTAGTTTGCTAAGGATGATAGCCTCTAGTTTCATTCATGTTCTTGAAAAATAAACATGGTCTCATTGTTTTTTGTGGCTGCTGATGAACATCTTAATTGTAATGGTGGTTTTACCACATCATATGGCAGAATATAACATGATACACTTTAAATGTATGCAGTTTATAGTATATCAGTTTTATCTCAAGCTATTTTTAAAAAATGGATGAATTGAATAAAATAAATATTTGCCTAAATAGCAGCAGTTCTTCTTTACCTTTTTAAAATCCAGTATACTTAAATTTAGTACATAATATTTTTAAATAGCATGTGTAATATCAATTTTTAAAATACGCTTTTTTCTATTTTTATCATGTATCATTTTACATAGAATAATTTTTTTTAAGCCTATCCCTGAAAGCAGGGAATGAGAGGAATGAAAGTAGCTAGTTATACAGTTAGGTTGGAGGGATTTTCTTTTTTAATATGGGAAGAGTTTTAATATGTTTCTTGGCTCAGACACATGAAGTGGTAAAGAGGAAGAAGCTGCAGATAATATACAGTAAAGGGAGTGGGTTAGGGGCAGAGTCCTTGGTGGTCTAGGAGGAGAATGGGATCTAGGGCACAGATGAGGCTACTCACCCAGACTAGTTGGAAAAAATCAGTGTTAGTACACATATGGATATGCCCTGGGACCAAAGGATGACAGTGTTTGTCCCCAAACCACGATATTTTTAGTGAAAAAAGGAAAGTTTACAATTGAGAAGAGGAGGGTAGGAATGAGAGGCTTGCGGTGAATTATTAGTTTAGATTGGTTACATTTGGGAAGAGAAGAATCTGAACAGGGACACAGAAAAAGATTATCAAGGAAAGCTTCTGTTGTAAAGGGGAAACCTTGGAAGAAAATCAGAATTTTATTAAAACAAAAACGAGTTCATATTATACTGTTGTTCTGCAGCTTGCTGCTTTCACTTCATAATGTGTCTTGGAAATCTTTTCCTTTCAGTACAAATGGACCTCTTGCTCATTTTAATATCTGTGTGTTAGTATTTCATCTATGAATGTACCATAATTTATGTAACATTTTAATTGTTTCCAACTTTTTACTATTAAATAATTGCTGTTGTGAACAACCTTGTATATATTTACAAGGTGGGAGATGAGATGCTTTTGCTCATGTAAAACTGTTTCTGTTGCTAGATAACGTAGAAGTAGAATAATTTTGTCAGAGATTATGAGCATTTTACATTTCGTTAGACATTTTCAAATTGCCATCCAGAATGGTTATACTGATATACTCACATAAATTGAGATAATTCATTTCCCTGTACTATCATTAGAAAGTGTTATTTTCGTTTATTTTTGTCAATCCTATGGCCAAAAAATATCTCCTTTGAAATTTGCAATTCTTCATGTTAGTGAAGATGAGCGTTTTTACTATATGCTTACAGTCCATTTCTATTTCTTTCTTTCTTTTTTTTTTTTTTTTTTTTTTGCCCTTGTGTTTATTGATCTTATGGTCCTTTAACCAAAACTTTTGATGACTTGAGTAAATAATGAATTTTATTTGCTCCTGGATGGGAAGAAATTACTTAGGGTTTCTTAAAGAACAGTCTTTTTGTTTCTCTATCTGCTAAGAAATCAAGTTAGAAAATCCAGTTAATGATCTAGTTAACTAAAACCACTCATTAGAGTGTAATTGCTTTTTGGAGGAAAAAAGGAAGGTCTTGTTGAAAAGAGCTGTGTGGGTGTGTCTTTGGTTCCAGATTAAGTTTACAGAGAAGTCAAATCTACTTTTCTCTCCAGTATGTAATCTTGCTTCACAATCCTGTCAAAACAGATTTATGGACGGGAGACTATTAACAAGCTGCACTGCTACTAAAATGATATAAGAAGGGTGAGAGGAAGTTAGCAATTATTGAACCCCTTCTGCATACTAGGAGTATTGATGGTGGAATGTGATACCTCACAGCAGCCTTGGGAGGTTGGAAGTGCAAGTTTTCCACCCATAACAGAATCAGAAGTTTAGTAACTTGCCCAAGATTCCGTAACAGAAAATGTCAGAACTGAAATTTCATCCCAGAAATCTTTGACTCCCACCCAAACTCATGATGTTTCTGTTATCGCCATTCTATTTCTTATGTGAACTGCTCATTCTTATCCTTTGACACTTTTTACTTGACTGCCTTTTTTACTTATTTGTAGGAGTTATGTTTTTAGTTCTTTATGCTTTGTAGGAGTTCAATATGCTTGCTCGATGTTGAGTTTCACTTAGAAATGCCTCCCCCCCTTCAAGATTATGTGGATTTCCCCCTAAAACTTGTATAGTTGGGTTTTGTTTGCATATTTTATCACTTTTATCAACTCAAAATTAATAAATGTGAATGATGTGATGTAGGGTACTATCATTTTAGATTCAGTACCAAAAATAAATATTTTAAAGCACAATATTTTTAGATAAGTAATTCTGGAAAGGTAATAGAGGTAACTTTTTCCCCTTAAGTAATAACTTCTTAGGAGTAAAGAAAACACTTATGTGTTTCTATTTGTGAAGCAAATCCATATTGTGAAGTTCATTGTAACAGGGCAGACTTGTAGCCTGTTAATATTCTCGTTACTTAAGACCATTAACTTTTCCATCTAATAAATTATTAGAAGGATAAAATTGTGTTTCAGCATATGATAAACATCAGGCAGATAGATGTCTGATAGCAGTCAGTGCCTATAGGTAATGACAAATCTTTTAAAAAGTAGATGATTAACTTCAGTGATGAAGAAACACAGAAAGAAGAACAGAAACAGCAAGAGGAGATAGGAAAGGAAAGAAATAGAAAAAAAAAATCACTGAAAAGAGACAAAGTAGAGAAATTAACATTTTCCTCATGAGGGGAGGTTTTATGTTTTAGGCAACTTTAAAAATTATCTCAGGCCTTATAATAATAGTAGTATTGTTTTGTTATTATTATTATTTTTTAGTTTTTGTCATTTGTTTTAGGGATGAAATGGACTTCTGCTGCCTTAGTGGGTTTATCTTTTAATCTTTTTTGATAGGCTGTGAAACATGTATACTATTAAATTGGCCTAGGAGTCTTGCATTCATAGTTCTTCATTATTTCTTTAGGCAGTTGAGAATGTTGAACCAGCAACTCAGAGAACAAGAGAATACTCATAAGCCATCTGGTGCTGTGGATGGCAACCTTGAATGTAGGTATAAGAACTTTAACGATTGATAAATTATTTGTGACATTGGAAATGTTGATAACGAATTGAGCTTTCATAATTACTTTGAGAGGACAAATTTAAAACATTGTGGAAACATAGGAAAATAAAAGATGCTATCACTTCCCAATAACATACACCTATTTTTAAAAACAGCAACAACAACAAAAAACAGGAGTGTGTTTTCTTTTACATATCTTCTCTTCATATATAATTGATTTATTTCACAAATACTCACTGAATACCTACTGTGTGCCAGGCACAAATAGAATTATATACGTACTTTTTTAGAAATGAGATTACACCGTGTATACTTTCTACAGCTTCTGTTTATTTATTTAATATGTAATCGATATTTTTGTCTATCAAAATATGTAATTATACATCCTTCTCTTAAAGATTTACTTGGGTATTTTGCTTATCCACGTCTACCATAAGATGGTCCTCTGCTAATAGTACTTTTCCCCTTTTCCCCAGTACAAACAACACTTCAGTGAAAATCTTTGTATATGTCTTTGTGCATACATGTTAGCTTTTTTTTGGTGTCGTTTTGGGGGTACGGTGGGGCTTGAGATGGAGTCTCACTGTGTGGCCCACGCTGGAGTGCCGTGGTGAGATCTTGGCTCACTGCAACCTCTGCCTCCCAGGTTCAAGTGATTCTCTTCCCTCAGCCTCTCAAATAGCTGGGATTATAGGCACCTGCCACCATGCTTGGATAATTTTTGTATTTTTATTAGAGACAGAGTTTCACCATATTGGGCACTTGAACTCCTGACCTCAAGTGATCCACTCACCTCGGCCTCCCAAAGTACTGGGATTACAGACATGAGCCACCACGCCTGACCAGCATTTTTGTAGGATAGATTTATAGTGGTAGACTTGCTGTGCCAAAAGGTATATACAGTTGCAATGTGACAGATATTGCCAAGTTGTCTTTAATGATCACAAAGCTTAATAAAGAAAGAAACAAGAGTGCCAGAAGAAAAAAATGAGAATTTTTTTTGAGGCGGGGAGCTTTTCCTCTGCTTCTCAAGTTCAAGCAATTATCTTCCCTCAGCCTTTCAAGTAGCTGGGATTATAGGTGCCTGCCACCATGCCTGCCTAATTTTTGTATTTTTATTAGAGACAGGGTTTCACCGTGTTGGCCAGGCTGGTCTTGAACTCCTGACCTCAAGTGATCCACTCACCTTGGCCCCCTGCAAAGTGCTGGGATTATAGACATGAGCCACCCCGCGTAGCCAGCATTTTTATAGTATAGATTTTTAGTAGAATTGCCAAGCCAAAGGGTGTATACAGTTGCAGTTGTGACAGACATTACCTAATTGTCCTTAATGATCACAGAGTTTAATAAAGAAAGAAATTATAATAGTACCAGAAAAAAAGATGAGAATTTTTTTTGTGGGGGGAGCTTTTCTAAAGCCTGAAAAAGACTCAGATGCCACAGAAGAATAGATTGATAAAATATGGCCCCAGAAAACCTTTTCAATTTCTACGTAGCAAAATTATAAATATATTCAAAGCACATAAACAAAATGGGGAAACAATACATGGCATGACAAAGGATTAATATTCTTAATATATAAATATATCTTATAAAACAATAAGAAAAAAATAGGATTACCCAACATAAAAGTGTTCAATTTAATCAGAATGATTCAGAAATTATCACTCTGGCTCCACTGTTAAAGGTGTGGAGAGGGAGAGGGTAGGAGAGAGTAGGCTAGAGGACAAGTGGGGAGATCAGTAGTTGCCACTTTAAATAGCTTCTCTTCTTTATATTATCTGTTCATTTATCTTATTGTTTATTTGAGATCATTACTATTTATAATTACTTGTTTGTTATCAGCTCTGTGAGAACAGGGGCCATGTCTGTGTTATTTGTCTCTGTATATGCTGACTCTAATACAATACCTCACACATAGTAAGTATTCACTGAGGATGTATTTGCTAAATAAATGGTGCCATATACTTTTATAGCCATGAAAAAAGAATGTGTTAGCTCTATGTGTTTGTATACAACAGTCTTATGGAATAAAAGGCAAAGTTAGAAACTGTATATGTGTGTGTGTATGTGTGTGTGTGTGTGGAGTGTGTGGAATGTGTGTAATACCATATGCAAAAGTGTTTTCCTGAAAGATACCAAAATGAATAGTAATTTTTTTCTGGGGACCGAGAGGAGTGAGAGGGAGATTCTTCATTGGGATCATATGGTATTATTGACATTTTGTGGTGGTTGAATTTTAAAAATTTTGTACATGTATTATTCTTTCTTTTAAAAGAGTTAAAAATTAATGCTTAAAATGTTAATTGGAAAAGAAAGCTATGAATTCTGCCAATCAATTTTTAAAAAATTATGTATTTATGTAGAGCTGCTTAGAACTACTCATGCAATTAATTGTTAAGCAAAATCAATACATTTCAGAACTTTTTTTTTTTTTTTAGAAACAGATGTTTTTCAAGTTTGTACTTTTTAGGTTTGGGAAACAACTATTTGATCCATTTTGTCTTACAGTGTTTTCTCTTCAGTCATTGAATATGTCACTGCAGAATCAATTGGAGGAGTCACTAAAGACCCAGGAATTACTGCAGAGTAAAAATGAAGAGCTCTTTAAAGTGATTGAAAATCAGAGAGATGAAAACAAAAAATTTGCTAGCCTATTTAAAGACAAGGATCAAATTATACTTGAAAATAAACAGCAATATGACATTGAGATAACAAGAATAAAAATTGGTACGTATTTAGACAGTAGTTATGGTCACATTTTTTAAAAGGAATAAGGAAACTGAAACTTTTGTTCTTTTAGAATTGGAGGAAGCCCTAGTCAATGTGAGAAACTCCCAGGTTAAGTTAGAAACTGCTGAAAAGGAAAACCAGATATTGGGGATAACATTACGTCAGCGTGATGCTGAGGTGAATCGGCTAAGAGAATTAACCAGGTAAAATTGACTTCCTTTGAATAACCCATGACGTTTTTATTTTTAGATGTTTTTATAAGCTTCAAAATAATGCCAGACCTGTTATCTCACCCATATCTTTTTCTCTTATTTTGCCAGTATTTTTGCTAATTTCTAATGACGTTTTCTTCTATTCCAATTAAATTAGCTTAGAAATGTCAAACCTGGCTAAATGATTTTTTTAAACCATGTGATTCTGGGCAGGGTTCTCTGATGAGAAGCTGAATGCTTGTATTGCAACACGGTTAAGCCCCCTGGTTTTGAAGCTAGAGAGATCTGACTTGAATCCCACCTCTGCCACATATTAGCTGAATAACTGAGCAAGTCATTTAACTTTTCTAAACCTCAACCATAAAGTAGGGAAATTAGTAGAGTTGTTGTGGGAAACTAAGAAATCATTCATGGATAGCACTTAGCATCGTAAGCCCTCATGCAATACGATTTTGGGTAAGTCAGTTAGCCTCTTTCAGCCTTATTTCATAAGTTAAATGAGGGAGTTGACAATAGCCCTTAAGATCACTTCATTCCCGAACAGTATTTTTCTAAAATAAAATTAACTCATTCAATTTTTTAATGATATTTACTTACAAAGTTCCGTTTTCTTTTGAGATATTTGCTAAGAATTGGATTTCAACTGCTTTTTAAAGTTCTAGGAGAGAAGTCAGTGATGTTAGGCCTAAAGATAAGCATATCTGACCTTGTCTTTGAATGATCCTAGAAGTTTCAGATATAAAATCATCTTGAATATAAAACAATCTTCCTTGTGTTTTCAATGAACAGATCCATTTTGAATTTTAAACTTCTCCCCTCATTTTGAATGATAAACTTGCAGGGAAGCAGATGAAACAGTAATATATATGTAACATTTAATTTATTAATTTAGTTTTATAAATGTGTTTGAAATTACTTTAATAATCTGTTCATATAAAAATACTGCCCTTTTTTCACATTTATATTTCATAAGATATTTGCATTCAAACTTTTATTTAACGATGGGAAAAGCAAGACTTTTTATAATCATATAGAATTGTAATTAATTAGGTTCTAGTCAGAGGTTCTGAATATTGGCTTATACCAGTCTTATTCAAAATAAAGTAATAGAATGTCCCTTCTTACGAAAGGCTTTGTAAGGTATCCAGAGGAACGTGTCTCCTTTTTTCTGAGGAATAATTTTGGGGTGGGAACTTTGTTAGTGTCAAGTATTTATGCTAAGAGAAACCAGTAACAAAAGGCCACATATAGTGTGATTCCATTTATACGAAATGTCCAGAATAGGCAAATTTATAGAGACAACAAAGTGGAGTAGTAGTTGCCAGAGTGTGGAGGAACCGAGGGGTGTCGAATGGGAAGTGACTGCTAATGGGTAGTTTCATTTAGGAGTGATGCAGATGTTCTGAAGTTAGAGACAGTTCTCAACTCTGAATATACTAATAACCACCAAATTATGCACTTAAAAGGAGTAAATTTTGTGGTATGTAAATTATATCTGTTGGGTGCAGTGGCTCATGCCTGTAATCCTAGCATCTTGGGAGGCTGAGGTGGGTGGATTGCCTGAGCCCAGGAGTTTGAGACCAGCCTGGGCAACATAGCAAAACCCTGTCTCTACAAAAAATACAAAAATTAACTGAGCGTGGCAGCGCATACCTGTAGTCCCAGCTACTGGAGAGGCAGAGGTGGGAGGATTGCTTGAACCCAGGTTGAAGCTGTGGTGAGCCACTATCTTGCCACTACATTCCAACTTGGGTGACAGAGTGAGACCCTGTCTCAAAATAAATAAATAAATAAATAAATAATATTTCAATAAACTGTTATTTTCTAAAAGATATATATGGTATTCAGTCTGTTTAGAGAAGAAAAAGGAAGAAAAGAAAAAAATAATAAGTCAGAATAGTCAAGTGCCATAGGAGCAAATAGGAGTTTGCTTAGGAGTTACTGTGAGCATCTGTTTCATTCTAAGGGATGGTTCTTTTCTTTTCTTTTTTTTTTTTTAATTATACTTTAGGTTCCATGGTACATGTGCAGATCATGCAGGAGTGTTGCATAGGTGCACACATGGCAATGTGGTTTGCTGCCTCCATCCCCTAAGGGACAGTTTTTAGCCCCAAGCAGAAAATCTGATGAAGCAGAGGATAGAGTTTTCTGATAGTTTTCTTTTCTTCTCACAATCTTTTTCTTCATACTCCTAAATTCAGCTTCTTTGTAGATATGAGATCACAAGCTGATATCTTTTATTTATAAAGTACTTCGATTTTTTTTCAAAGTTTTATCTTTCCCATATCATTTTATTTGTCCTCACCTATGGAGGGAAGATTTTAGTATCTGTATTTTCATAAATGGGCAAACTGAGGCCATGCAAATTAAGTATTAGAAGAACGTTAATAACAGAGCTGGGACTAGAACTCACATCTCTTAATTTCTAGCTAGATGTTCCTCTTGCACATGGAGTGGCTTTAGTCATGGTAACAACTCCATGCCTAATTTAGCCTAAGTAAACCTTATCATTTTTTACCTAGGAGGTAGATGGATAAATCGATGGATTCATTCATTTATTCAACAAACATTTATTGTGTACTATGTTCCAAACATATATGTGTGAAGCTTATGTAAAAATAATTATTTTAGTTGCTTAATATCCACATTAACAAGCTAAAAGTTTATTCCAGTGCTTTACTGACATATGTACGGATATCTTTTTTTAAGTAAATGCATTGCATATGTTGATGATACTATTCAGCCTGTGCAATACATTTACTAAGAAAGTTGGTAACAAAAACATGAGAACAATCTTTCAGAGTAAAAGTATAACTTTCCTAGAAATTAGTACAAATGGAAGCCCAAAGGAAAAAGGGACTTACCTGACTTTCACAGCTAGTTAGTGTCTGAGCTCTGAGCTAGGACTAGAGCCAGGATTTTGGATTCCCTCTTCAGCTTTGCTTCCTGTTTTAAAGAGGACAGCTTTTCTCTGAATGAAGATATACCATTATTGAGGGATTCTTCTACCTGTGTAGGAGGTACTTTTGTACCTGTTCATTCTTTCAAAATAACATGCAGTCTGCCCTTTGCGTTGTATATTCAGAATGAAAAAGTGTAATTGGAACTTTTTTTTTGTTTTAACATTTATCCTAACATAGAAGTATAGGAACTGAAAAAGCTCATTAATTCTTAAGGCTTACTACCTGCCTTCAGCAAAGGCTGTCTACAATAGTAGATACAGACTGTTGCTCTCCTTTTTGTAAGCCTCTCAAGAATTTTCCTATCAGTTTTTAATATTTTTGTTAAGCACCTTTTTATGCTGGGCGTAAATCCTGCCACCTGACTACTAGCTCACCTGTCAGATTAATTGCACTCTTACGAATGATTGTAAAAACATGATGGGAAGGCTTAGCACGGTATCTCATGTAGAGTTTAGCACTATCCCTGCATTTTCTAAAGATTTAGTAACAGCTTCAAAATTCTAAGTACATTCATTGATGTCAGTTTTGTACTTTTTTGAATCTCACTCTGTCACCCAGGCTGGAGTATAGTAGTGCGATCACAGCTCACTGTCGCCTCGACCTCCTTGGCTCATGCAGTCTTCCCACTTCAGGCTCCCAAGTAGCTGGGACCACAGGCACATGCTACTGTGCCCAGCTATTTTTGTTTAACCTTTTTTTTCCTCTCTCTTATTATTTTTTTAATACTTTAAGTTCAGGGATACATGTGCAGAACGTGCAGGTTTGTTACATAGGTATACATATGCTATGGTGGTTTGCTACACCCATCAATCTGTCATCTACATTAGGTATTTTTCCTAATGCTATCTCTCCCTTAGCCCCCGACCCCCTGAAAGGCCCCGGTGTGTGATGTTCTTCTCCCTGTGTCCATGTGTTCTCATTGTTCAACTCCCATTTATGATGAGAACATATGGTGTTTGGTTTTCTATTCTTGTGTTAGTTTGTTGAGAATGATGGTTTCCAGCTTCATCCATGTCCCCGCAAAAGACATGAACTTTTTTATGGCTGCATAGTATTCCAGGGTAGATATGTGCCAGATTTTCTTTATCCAGTCTGTCATTGATGGGCATTTGGGTTAGTTTCAAGTCTTTGTTATTGTGAACAGTGCTGCAGTAAGCATATGTGTGCATGTGTCTTTCTAGTAGAATGATTTATAATCCTTTGGGTATATACCCAGTAATGAGATTGCTGGGTGAAATGGTGTTTTTGGTTCTAGATCCTTGAGGAATCATCACACTGTCTTCCACAATGGTTGAACACTCCCACCAACAGTGTAAAAGCGTTCCTATTCCTCTACATCCTTTCCAGCATCTGTTGTTTCCTGACTTTTTAATGATTGCCATTGTAACTGGTGTGAGAATGGTATCTCATTGTAGTTTTGATTTGCATTTCTCTAATGACCAGTGATGATGAGCTTTTTTTACTTTTAGTAGAGGCAAGGTCTCACTATGTTGCCCTGGCTGGTCTTGAACTACTTGGCTCAAGCTGTCCTCCCACCTTGGCCTCCCAAAGTGCTGGGATTACCAGCACACCCAGCCATTGTTTCGTTCTTTAAATTAAAAAACAAAACAAAAAGTCTCTGAGCTTAATTATATCTAAATTCATCCACATTGTTGATTTATAATTTCTTTGGTGACATCCTTTGCAATTCAATTGGTTAGGAACTTCTCCAGTACTATAGGTGGGTTGCTGTGACCACTTTAATTTTACTTTTGACTTTAGAGTGTAAAGCAGCAGCACCCAACCGTACCAATAAATCGACATGCTCTTCCACTCCTTCACTCTTCCCATAGTCACACACCTTAGTCAGATAGGCATATGGTTTTCTTATGTAGGTTTTAAATAATCTCTCAGAAAAGAGATTCTGTAAAATTTCAGAATACTTTTCTCAGACTTTTGGGAGGGGCAGTGGACTGAACGGTACATGTACAAGGTCTAAAGAAGTACCACAAACTATCTCTCGTTTCCTCTCCAGCCTTTAATGATTTC